AACCTCAAAAAATAATATACATTTCAAAAAAAAATATTTTAATTATTCTTAAAAGAAAAAACACAGACTGACCAGAAAAGTGAATCTTCCGCCCTTTCCGGGGCTGCTGACTGTACACTGTCATGCTTGCTTAGGAATTTATGGTCATCAATAAAACGCGTCGTTTGTCCTTTCTATCTTTGTTCGTGTTTGGTTTATAGTTAGTAATAATTAATTTTCATAGAGCAGAAAAATATTGTGATGTTTTTTTTGTTTTGGTAAAAAGTAGGACAACTTACGTTAAATACGCATTAATTATTAAAAATCAATTTTTAAGATTATTTATTCGATAATTTTGTAGAATGATATTGATAAATAAATAAAATTTAAATGATAAAGTGTAAAAATTGAAATGGAAAATAATTAATGTTGATAAAGCAGAAAAACTATATTGTGATATGTTTTTATTTTGTCAAACAGTAAGAGAGTTTATTTCAGAATATTAGACAAGCAATCTAACTTCACATCCAACTATTACACTTTATCATTGGTTTAGATATATTATGAAGTATAAATGTGAGATCCATTAAATAAAAGATAGAGATCGCATAATTTCATAAATTTTAGTTGATAATAAGAGTTATATTTAAAATATTATATGATAAAAGTATATCATCAATGTTTTTTTTTATAAAGAACCATGATTGCTTTGGATACCTTCATGGATTGTGAGTTAATGTAAAAAGAGAGAGAAGAAAAAGGAAAAATATAGATACTGAATAGTGTGGTAAAAAGTAAGAAATTGATATAAATAAATAAATAAATAACATAAATAAAATGAAATTTTATTTTTATTTTTATGTATATCTATTTTTTTCTCATTTTTTTTAATTTACCTAGACTAAAGGACGAAGTAAAAAGATAAATTTTTAAAAAATATTAATGCTTCACATTTAAAAATTAAATAAGCACATTTTTGAATGGCTAATATTTTTTTATAAAATGATTAATTAAATTTATCTTGATAATTTAATTTAAATACAATAACAGTGTAAAAAATTTACAGTATTATTTAATTATAAATTTTATATCGGTTATGATAATTATTTTTTGTAATAATTAATCTATTTTATTCCTTTTTTTCATAATAAAATTTCAAGAGAAAAAATATTGCATCTTACTGTAGGGTGGTAAAAGGTCACTAAATTTTAAAAATATTTATAAACAAACTGATATTTACCTTATCCTACTAGAAAGAATAAAGATTCAAACTTATAATATATGATACATGAATCTCAATTTTTTAATGGAAAAAATATTCAGACAATATTCCATCTATAATCTTCAAAAAGTCTGTCTCTAATCAAAACATTTTTAATTATAAAAAATGGTTATGAAATGAAAATTTTCATCACTTATTCGGAGACCAACTCATTCTATCTCTGGTTTTTCAAAATGATTTTAAAAATATCCTTTAAAATTTGTAACTGACCATGACAAATTGTTGTCTATCCAAAAATCCACAAGACAAAATATTAACAACAAAGTGCATCGTAATAAAGTAAGAGTAATGGTTTGAAAGTCTTCTATTAGGCGATCATTTAGATAACACCATCCCTGTTTGTTCCTTCGCAGCATGCATCCATAGGATTATTATTAATGTTATGGAGTAGTATGAATTGTATACGTTGACTATGTGACTATCTTTATTTTTTACTTTGTTATGCAACTTGATCGGCAAAAAGTTTTATATGTCAATCCAGGTTATTTATTTTGATGTATTCTTGAAAATTACAACTATTTTGAAATAATAATTTAAATTCAATCTTTCTCTGAGTAGCCTATTTACATGAGATAAATTATTTTTATTTTCTTCTATTTTAATACTATTTTTAACCATATTTATTAAACTTCCCATTTATGCGAGACTTATTGTTGGACTCTGTTAATTTAGACACACACAAAAAAACCCATTTTTATGTGCATAGTTCCTTGTTAGAATGTGAATTGAAGGTTTATATTTTGTTATACTTGAACTTTATATGATTATTAAATTATATTTAATCTTGAAGATGTATACTTGATTTTTTTTTCATTTGTTTGTTGTAGAATATTTTAAAGCTCTTGTTATGTAATATCATTTAATTATAAATAGATATTATAATTTATATAAAAAAAAAAACTTATCAAATGTTAAAAGAAATACTAACATTCGTCTAATTTAATATCTTAAAACTTATTATAATTATGTAACCATGTTTATATAATTATATGGATACTTTTTTTAATTTACGCGTAATCCTATTAAGCAAATAATTACGCAATTCATTATTTTTTATAAATATTCAAAAGATATTTTCGATCTCACCTTCGGAATCCATGTGTACCATTTCAAAATAAATTGATGATGACGAGCATTGACTTTGCTCCCCCAACTCCAAAAAAAAATAAAAAAAAAATCCAATACCTACTCCCTGACTGCGACTCCTTTGATTTGTCACCTTTGCTCTGCGGCAGTAAACATTGCGGGATGCACAGTAATTATTTACGATGTTTAATTAAGTAATTTTAATTCAGAAACTTGCTAATTTTAAAGCGAGAGCAATTAATTTTAAAACAATAACATTTTTTATTTCTAAAAAATAATTTTGAAGAGTATATTATTTATATAAATTCATTTTTCCTTCTCCTCCGGATCATTAGAAATTTAGAGATGACAAAGTAAATCGATATTTTTGCTAAAAGTAGAAGGATTCACCCTATTTATTTTTTAAAGCATACTAAAATATTTAACCTAATCCATTTATGAATAATTGACGAGCAAGCAAACTGGGCCACTAAAAATAAAATGAAATAAGTTAGTAGGTTAATCTGTTTGCACAAATAAAAAAATAAAATTTAATGAAAATTTATAAAAAAATACTAAAATAAAATTGAAATTACATTTTTATACAAAGAATTGTTAATTAATTGACAATAAAAACATTTAAATTATTTTATTTTTTAAAATAAATAAATTAATCAGTTTTAATTCACTATTAACTTGTACTTTAGCCGTCTTAACACACACATTAATACTAATTTTTTTATAAAAGTGTTTGATTTTTTTGAAAAATAAAAGTACTTTTAAGAGTTATTTTTTTTATCATATTAAACAATTTTTTATAAAATAACTCATGATACCAAGATATAACCACATACTTTTAAAAAATGAAAAGTAATTTCAATTTTTTCTAAAAATACAAAATTTAATTTTAATATAAAAATATAACTTTTTATATAATAAAATTTTAAATTTTCTCAATTTTAAATGTTTATTTTTTTACTTTGTTAATATTTTTTTCTTATTTATACTCTTAAATTATTTAATATTTGTTTGGTTACTCTCTTTATAACGACACACGTTATGAAGTAAAATCTGTCCAGAGTTTCTGAGGCATGATTTATGATGCACATTTAATAAAAGGAAATATTTTGTACTTCCTAAAAAACCACATTAGGTTAATCTATGGCACCCTCAAATTTAAGAGGGTATTTAAACCCTTATTTATTGTAATGTCATGTAAATAATAAATACTTTTAATGAGCTGTTAATCTAATAATTTGAAGTTTATTTGCATTCAAGGAGTTCTAAGGGGATATATGCGAAATTAAAAATAAAATAACTGTAAAAGAAAATTATTTCCCAATGGCCAATGGTGCCTTTTTCACGCTTGGAGTCTCCTCCAACGGGGAAGGAAACGTGATATTGCAGTTGCAGAGTCTTGATGACGGATTGCACTGTGCATTTATCAGCACCCGTTCTTGTGGCCTGCTCCTATATGATAGCACTGCTCTTTCAGTCCCTTTGCATTTGCAATTTTTGATTGGTTTCGATGAATCAAATTCAAACTCATTTATGTTGTGAATCACATTAAAATGATGGAGCTGAAAGAATGTCGCTGCAACTGGGGAAACGGAGCGGAGGTCGGTGGAGCCGGGGAAGGAAACTCCGAGGGAAAGTTGGTGCTGTCAATGGTGGGCGCTGACTGGGCGGTAACAAACTTATTCATAATTTCATACATGTCCTTACAGAGGTTCTTATATGCAAATATGCTTAAAATTATTAGGTTAACTTGTCATTAAAAATATTTTTAATTTTAGAAATTATTATAATTTGTTCAACTAATAAAAATTACTTTAATGATGATTTACAATTATTATTGATAGAGTAAATTTAATTATTAATTAAAAATTGAGGAAACTAAAGTATTTTTACTTATATAATTAATAAAAATTTAAAAAACAATTTCATTAATATAAAATTTTAAAAAGTGTCACTAAATAAGAGGCGTTTTTATATATTTAATTTCACATCTTAATTTTTTAAAATTTTTATAATTTAAATTTAATTCATTATAAAATCTTAAACGTATTTAATTTTAAAAATTAAGAAATATAAATGACAAGAAACCCCTCTGTGTCTACTGTATAGCGAAGCAGCTGGGGCCTGAATTTGCTTGTTATTTTGACGTGCTTCGTTTGCACTCGTGAAGTTTTAGATAACAAACAACAATGTTGATGGAAAAATAAAGTCAGCGAAAATCGAGGAGAAAAATAATAGAAGTAGCAGGGGATGCAAAATGCTACATCTGGTTAGAGATAATTACTCTCATCAATTTTTGTACGCTTAAGATTACAAGATTTAAGAGAATAAGTGATATTTTGAATTTTATAAAAAAGTATTATCTAACTTTTTATTATATCAGATTTAATAAATTATTAATTTTGCAAAAGGAAAGATAATTTAAATTAAAAGGTAAATCATTATGTAATAATGAGGAATATTTAAATGTGTAATGGATAGAAAATGAAAGGAAGCATTCTGGAAGGTGGTGTGTATAAAGCATTCCCGAAGCCAGAGTTGCTTTTCCAAATTTATCACCATAAAAAGTTGCAAAGTCAAGGAGGGGGTAGCTGCGTCAATTTACTCCTCTCCCCATTCATCAAATATAAACATAATTAATTCGGTTTAAATCTTTGGTCTTTTCATCCTCGCCAAACAACCACCACCACCCTTTCTATATATATGTAAACAGAGTAGAATAATTCCATGTATTAGAGGACCTAGACAACTAATCAAATATAAAGCAGGTGAAAAATTCAACACAGGGCTAGAAAAAGGAGCTTCTCACTCTTATATATACATTCTCTTCTTGCTCCAGAGCCTCCTCAAACATTTATATAGAAGCATTTTTTGTAGCAGATTAGAGCATTTTATGAGATTGTAGATAGTTCATTGTGTTATCGTCACAGATAAACTGTCATGAAAATCACACTGAGATCGATCTTCCCTAGTTGTTATAAGGGTGAATACGTGTCACCCTCACCAAAGCCCACCAAGGTCGTGGCTACAAAGGGTGGTTCTTCTTCCAACAGGGTCTCTATCACGGATTTGAGTTATCCAAGTTCCACGTTTTCTGAGGATCTGTCGGTTTCTCTAGCAGGGTCTAACCTCCATGTTTTCACACTTGCTGAGCTCAAGATCATCACGCAGAGCTTCTCTTCGAGTAACTTTCTCGGAGAAGGAGGGTTCGGACCTGTGCATAAGGGGTTCATCGATGACAAGGTTAGGCCAGGTCTCGAGGCTCAACCTGTTGCTGTTAAGCTCTTGGACTTGGATGGTTCTCAGGGCCATAAAGAGTGGTTGGTGAGTACCCTTTTCGATTTTCATCAAGAATGTGTCACCAAGGTTTAATTAATTACAATTATTTATTTCTTTTCGGTTCTTTAATTAGCAAGTATTATGAATCCTTTTTGTACTTATGCTTTTCTTTTGGTTTTCTGACCACAGACTGAAGTTGTGTTTCTGGGTCAACTAAGGCATCCACATCTTGTCAAGTTGATTGGATATTGCTGTGAAGAAGAACACAGGCTTCTGGTGTATGAATATTTACCACGAGGAAGCTTAGAGAATCAGCTATTTAGAAGTAAGATTTCTCTTATGTCATCTTATTAGTTCACTTTGCAATAAGTTCAACTATTAAACTTCTTTTTTCGTTGGGAATTGAAGGATACTCGGCATCGTTACCATGGTCAACAAGAATGAAAATTGCTGTTGGAGCTGCAAAGGGTCTAGCCTTTTTACATGAAGCTAAGAAACCAGTCATCTATAGAGATTTCAAAGCTTCCAACATCTTGTTGGATTCTGTAAGTATCTCACATTATCTTTCATCCTCTAATGTTCAATTTGGATCTCCTTCATCAATTATTTTAACTCACTGCTTTTTTGTTCCTTCCGTCAGGATTATAATGCAAAGCTCTCAGATTTTGGCTTGGCAAAAGATGGCCCTGAAGGAGATGACACACATGTTTCAACAAGGGTCATGGGCACCCAAGGCTACGCGGCCCCAGAATACATTATGACAGGTAGTTAATTGTTAATTAAATTCACCAATGCAAAAGAATGGCTAGCGATTAACTTGAATTCTATATAATTAATTATTCATTGCCAACTTAGTTTTAACATGTATGTATATATTTTTTTCCATATAGGACACTTGACAGCAATGAGTGATGTGTATAGTTTTGGAGTTGTCCTCTTAGAGCTTCTAACAGGTAGAAGGTCAGTGGACAAGGGGCGCCCACCTAGAGAACATAACCTGGTGGAATGGGCCAGGCCCGTCTTGAATGATCCGCGGAAACTTGGTAGAATAATGGATCCAAGGCTTGAAGGTCAATATTCTGAGATGGGGGCAAGAAAAGCAGCTGCATTGGCTTATCAATGTCTAAGCCACAGGCCAAGGAGTAGACCCTCAATGACCACAGTGGTTAAGATTCTTGAGCCTCTTAAGGATTTTGATGACATTCCCATTGGACCCTTTGTTTACACGGTTCCAACTGATAATGGAGTGAAAGAGAGTGAAACACCAAAGGAGAGGAAAAGGGAAAATGGTCACCATCACCGTAGCCATCATCACACTAATGCCCATAAGCATCATGATAACAGTGAAATGCATAAAGATGCAAATGAAAGTGAAGCACCTAGGGAGAGAAAGAGGGAAAATGGTCAACATCACCGAAATCACCATCGCCACAATGGGCATAGGCCACATCCACTTAAGGCGCCAAAGCCACAGAATGATGAACACCAAAATGGTAGAAGAAGTGGGTCAAACTCGCCTGATAGCATTGCATCATAAACGCAAGGAAGCGTGGCTTAATTGACACAGAGATCACAGTGTAAATAGATATTTCGTGAAGAATTGTCACATAGTGTGCCAAATACTAGTGCTAGGCTAAGTGTAACAAGCCTTTCAGCCAATAAAAGACAGAAAATATGAAAAGGAGGAGGGGGTACAATTGTAATCGTTCTTGCATGGAAAACATGCTTGAGTTTTTTTTTTTCTTCTTTTTTTCCTTATTTATTTATTGAATTTCCTTATTGATTTTGAATTGTCTATAGAATGGTGATTTTTGTTCCCCGAAGAATCGAAAGACTAGTTCAATTATTGGGACAATTACCAACTACGGTTTTGTTGAAAGATCTGGCAACGAAAGCGAGTACAGCTCAGTGGTTTGACCAAACGACACGTAAATGTGTCCACTTGCTAATTCTCTATGATAGTAATTTATTAAGCAAGAGTGCAGGACAGCAGGAAAGCCACCCTCATTATATAAAACGTTTTTTTAACAATAATTACTTATTATATTTTAATATAAATTATTTTTAATTACTTAAAAAAATTAATGTTAATAATTTATTTATTTATTTTGTAGTTTGCGGCACATGAAAGATTTATGAACCGAGGATATTCCAAATATAGTATTGTGGATGATCAAGTCCCAGTTGGTGGATTATTTTTACTTTTCTTTTTTTAAGATGATAATTATAAAAAAAATATTAACTAGTATTTTTAAGTCTTTGAATAAGGATTTTTTTAAATATGAAAATGTGTTTAAGAATATATAATAAATAAATTATTATTAAAATCAGAAGATATTACAATATCTAATATAGATTAATAACATTAAATGTTATGATTGTTAGAAAATTTTGTTATTTATTAAATTTTTATTATGTTTTATGCATACATTAAAATAATAAAAACATAATAATACCCTTATTTTTATAACTTTCAAATACATTTTACCGTAATCTACAATTAAAAAAATGAGTGTGTATTAATTTTTAACCAGTTAGATTATCAACAACTCTAAAATAAATAATCAATGCAACATGCATGGTCGTAGGAAACGGCAACGATGTTGAAATATTAAAAGATCAACTAATTAAAAACTTCATTAGGAACTGGATATCTTTGCATCATTTTGACTACGGGCTAGGTATTAAATGGCGAATAAATTAATCATTGGATTAAAAAATAATAAGCCATCGGATTTCAAATGTTAACTTAGTTTATACTTTATTTATGTGAACAATATATATATATTATCATTATGATCTTGATTAACTGCAAAATTGTTACAGCGTGATTAATTTTTGAAGAGCAAACAGGCTTTCTCTAACACTGAAAGAAAGTTGTCAAATTATGTGGTCCTCGTATATACAAGCTAGGCTAGGGAATATCAATTATACCAGATAGCATGACAGAATGCCACCAACTTCACCATAGTGCGCAAGAGGAAGGAAATCAGATATGAGATTTTTTATATTTTATATTTATTTTTTAACATTTTATAAAGTAAATATTAATTAAAAAGTTATATATTTATTATCTTAAAAATATAAAAAGATTTAAAATTATTCAACCATATATTTTAGCTCAGATCGAATAATATCAATGAGTCCGACAACCCGTCCACACGAAACCAAACAGCACAACAATGTTGATATTTTCTTAATCTGTTTGATTTGCCAAAAATATGAACAAGACAAAATAATGAAGGACAAATTATATAATATGTGAAGATAAGCAAATGACATTGCAAGGTGGATTTGACAATGAGCTTCGGCAAATTATGTGGGTTTTAAAACTTGCATGATGGTGAATATTTTATTCAACTTCGTTAATCATTATTCATCAAAATGACAAACAGTTGGGTACTATCTGCGAAAATTTTCCACGTTAGAGTAGCTGGTTGTCAACATATTTAGGCATTCAGCCTTAACATTATCTACTGGTATTTTTAAATTATTATAAGAGGGCATGCGTGGTCAGAGAATTGAATCGGAAAATATATGTTCAGGGCAAAATTACCGAATATTTAATTAAAGATAAACGATACATAATTAGTGTAATATGTATATCGTCTGTGCTAAAAGAACAGAAGGGACAAACTCATAGAGCTCCTCCTTCTTTTCTTTCTTGATAATATACCAGTTAATATTAAGTGGTCAACATTTTCTGCAATACCGTGGCTTCTTACATGATGCTGCCTAATAGAGTTATTTTCTATGAATGAGTCTTTTTTATCTGATCGGGCTGCTAAATTTAATTCAAATAAGGCGTTGGACTTTGTTTTCTTTTTAATTACTTGAGTAGTTCTTCATTTTTTTTTCTCATAGGATAATATTTGGTTGATTAATTTGGCTGTTACATAATGCAATACCGTGGCTGTTACATTTTTTCTTCATTTAGTAAGATTGTTACATTTAATTAATTAAAATTAAACCTGATAAAAAAATTGCCTAATATGATGAAGTCAGGACCTCGAATTGGACTAGCTCAAAATAGAGTGAATGACCATCTTTTACCATTTCTGATTAAGATTAGGTCTTTATCTTTTCTTTTTTTTTTTGGTTGCTAAAAGCAATAATTCTTACGTATTTCTCTCAAATCGTTGCGTTATGAATAATGAGGTTGTGTTAAAGAACTGGTCTGAAATAATAGGATTATTTATTTTTTGTTCATAAATTAAAATAAAGAATGTTATTATTAACTAATACGTTTGATAATGCCAGCCTCCGTGGCGAAACATGTTTATTGTGAACGTGATAATTGCCATTAGTGATTCAAAGGAGTTAGGAGGTTTTGCTCTGAACAACTCGCAAGTTGCTGACCAAAATATCTGGACAAGCATATAATATATGTAAAAGATCGAAAGGAAGCATGGTAGTTTCAACAAAAGTAATGGCTGCTTTTGCAAAATCTGTGGGTGGATGCTGAGGATAACGTAGGAGCTGTGCCTTATACTCGTCATCAAATAATATTAAGGATAAAGATTCTTCATCATATTCTACTCCTACCAAATCATAATTTAAATCATATCATTCATCCATTTTCCTTACATTGGTTTAGTTTTAAATAGTTGTTCAAAGGTGGTACAATTAGAATAATACTGATATCTAACTTTCAGTCGGCTGGAACCCTTTTGTATCAAGAGGCTATATATATAGCTAATATAATAGTATAAGACTTTGGAATATTAAGAGTTTAAGGGAGGGAAAATATTCTAGAACGCATTAGTCTTTTGAATACATTAGTCATATGAAATGGAAGCACGTAATTTTGACCACTGTACTGCAGAATTAATTAGCAATATGTTAAAAAGAAAAAGGCAATTAATCTCTTCTATTTTGCATTGTTGTACTCGAGCCATTAGTGGGAATAGAACTGCATCTGCAATACAAGCTTAAAGGACATGCAGGAGGGTTTGCACCTTATTTAACACTCCCAAAAGAAAACAGTCAAAGATAAATGGGCAGCGCAATGATTTGTTGGACTGCTACAACTCGCTAGCGACATGCTGATGAAAGCGGGTCACTGTGGCACTGGAAAATCGTGCCTTTTTAATATAATTCAACTATCATTTTTAATTAAAAATTATTTATTTTAATTAATACCTTTCAAATACTGGTTATCAAGACCAAAAGTAAATACTTTGGATTGGGTCTGCGTTTCTCTATGATTATTAAGGTGATAATTAAGGTTGATTGGTAACTGTACCTGACAAGTTTTACTCATTTTTCTTACTCTTAACGACAGCTTTAACTACTTTTGCTGCCTAACATCATATTGATCACACCAAAGATGAAACCAAGTCGCATAACTTTTTCCTAATTGCAATCAGATCTGAAGCACCGTTTACGCAAAAAGAAATAAAGAATCAAGACCAAAAAATATTAAAATTATGGGTGAAAATTGATACTCACATGGTTGATTAATTCTACCATCGTGACTTCTTTTGCGCACTTCGTCGTTTCAAAAACGTAGTGTCGATACAATGTTTGGATTACTGCTTACCTACTCGATCTTCAAAATGCACATCATCGCCTTCTTTTTATAATTTTGCTAATTAGTGAATTCTAACGTTGTATTACAACTGAAAAGCAAGCAGCTCTAATCAACCGTGAAATTCAATCAAATGATGTTAGGTTATACACAGTTCCCGCGGGAAAATTCTCATATAAATTGCTAAACAGTACTAAAAAACTATTTACAAACAATTTATTTTTAGATTACCTATGTTAGTATAGTTTTTTTCAACAAAAATTGAATACTAATATAGACTTTATAAATTTATACCAACAATATGATATAAACAAAATATGTTTAAGTTAAAATTAATTGAAAAATAATATAAACTTATATGCTTGGATTTAAATTAATTTTGAGAGTTGCTAAACTCTCTCTACCTTGACATCTATAATTAAAATCTTAAGTTTGCAAATTCGTTGTATTTGCGTATATATATCAGCATTCAATGTAACAAAAATCATGACGAGTGCTGGCGACTACTACATCTTTTGTTGACGTGTGACATAATATAGAGGTGCATTACTCTTTTACCTTTTTCTTTTTGATACCTTGATAAGGTTTGGTAAAAAATAAGAAGATTGATATGATTTATTTAAGCTAATAGTTTACCTTTTGTAAAAAGTATTTACCTCTCAAATTTAAAAGTAGTTAACTTTAGAACATGTTTGAGACGAAGAGTTTTAAATGGAAAGAAAAGGAAAGTGTTTTTTTTTTAATTTATTTCAGATAAATATTTTAATTTTTTTATAATAAAAACAATTTATCATAAAATTTAATCATATTTATTTTTGCTTCATGAATTGTACACATATAGCTCTCTAAATTTAAAATGAAAAGCTCTAACATTTTAATTAATTACATCTCCTTCCATATATCCCTTCAACTTAACACACGTATACATACTCACCTTTGGCCTTACCCTTTAACATTAAGTTTTTATGTTTTACCTCTTCATTTTTACAGTGGCCAAATCTGTATAGCGAAAACTGAAAAGATCCTGACGAATCAACGCGTGGAGACCTGAAGAATCAATGCCGGGCTTATAAATAATAGCCTCTGCAAAAATCTCAGTTTTAGGGTTCAAATGTTTTAAGCTTTAGAAAAGTTACAATTTTAAAAATCTATAAAAACAATTCACTTTTTTAGTATATAAATTTCATGAGCAGTAAAATTTTCCGTGTCTTTAATTATAAATATAAAAATATATTTTGCCTTTAAAATATTATTATAATTATAGTTTGTTTTCTGAAGTTACTTCAAATGATTTCATGAAATAAAAACAAACAGGTAATTTCAGTTATAATTCAGATTACTTGTTCCTCAATAATTATTAGTATAAGTATTGGCAAAGAAGGTTACCTATGTTGTAATTATAATTAGAAAAAAATACTCCTATATCTCTCACTTTAACTATGAATTGATGAATTTATTAAGAATTGGGTATGGTTTCAAATTACGAGACATACGCGTTTTTATTAATCCA